AGTAGACTGCTTCCAGAACAACACCATCTCATCCTCCAGCTGTGGTCTGATGTAGTCCAGGTCAGCCCTGCTCACATGAGTAGCTTTGTACCGCGGGTCAAGAAGGGCAGCTGTGCGCATTAACTGGATGATCTTGTCGTTGTCATATCTATTGTCAAGTTGCTCCAGGATCGTCGGAACATCGTCGGAACATCGTCGGAACATCGTCGGAACATCGTCGGAACATCGTCGGAACATCACGCTCGCTTGACAAGATGTCTGTAAATTCAGATACAGACTTCAGTCCCTCTGTGACAGCCACCAGCACGCTTACATCTTGCCAGCTAATGGTTGGTAGTGTGTGCCGACTCCTGTTATCAGCAAAAACTCTTCTGATGTGAGGCAGCAGGGTGAGGATCCTCTCTGCCATCGCATATTTGCTGCCCCAGCGCGTAGCACAATCCTGTTTTATAAGAGAAAATATAAAGGGGAAAAGGTGGTTATAGTAAAAGCAATAGGCGTATTGATACGTTCTAAATGTGCTGTCTTCTGTGTGTATGCTTGTATGCACATGCAGACATAGATAAAACTAGCCTCCAATCAATGTTATGTTATTATTGGTAATAATACAGTGGAAACACTAAGCTAGTGATAAAATTGTATATTTTTTACAGAAAACATATGATTGAAATTGAGTTTGTTATCGCTTGGTTCAAAAAGAAATGTGGGATAATGGCTAAATGTTAATACTTACAGTTATTAGAAAAAGCGGTTTCTTTATCCCCTGTTGCTCTTGCTCTTTCCTGACTTGCTGTCGCCTTTGCCAACTGTGTGAAAAGGCTCAATTTATTTGGCGACACACTCCGAAAGCTTTATTCAAGGCATTGTTGATGGCTAAGTTCAAATTATGCCCGAAACAACTGATCCATGACCACTTAAGATCACGAACAGCTGCAACGATGTTGGCTCCTTTGTCGCTTGTAATGCAGACCACTTTCTCTTCTCCTGTTCCCCATGCTTGCAACCCATCCTGGAGTGCTTCAGCTGCCACCCCTGCGGTGTGACTCTCTGGGGTAAAAGCTGTCTCAAGACATTTGGATTTTAATGTCCAGTCTTTTGAGACATAGTGCTTAGTTATGGACATATAATGAGGCATGTTAATGCTTGACCACATGTCCGTAGTCAAAGCAATGAAGTTAGCCTCTTTCAATTCATGAACTATTTTCCCTCTCAGCTGTTCATACAGTTTTGGCACAGCAGTCTCCGAAAAATATTTCCTCCCAGATGGTTCATACTGCGCATCCAGTGTAGTCAACATTTTTTTTAAACTTCCTCTTTCAACCGGTTGAAATCGGACGCACTCCTTTGGTAAAAATCTTGCAACAGCTGTTGTACACTTGGCCCATCTTTCGCTGCCTGGCTTGTATTTAGTTCATTTAGCAAAAGCTGCTGATATTGTGCGCTGCCCCCGTGGCTGTCCCCCAGAAGCACCTGCAGCGCTGCTGTTTGGAGGCAGTTTTGTGGCCTCGGTGTAGCGATGGACTCAAATGTGAATACATGTGTGGTTTGCTTATCCTTCACAGGCACACATGATTTGCATAATGTGTCTTGAGGCTCACCGTCAGCAATTGGACAGAACCTAAAATATGCCAAAATAACCGATTTAGCATTCTTTTTGGGCACCAAATTGCTGTCTGACTCTGCCATGTTTGCGGCGCCACGTGTTTTTTTTTTTTTTGATGACGTAATTGTGCCCGCCCTATCAGCCAATTGGATCGTCTATCGGCGATGGCCAGGGACCTTGATCTTACGATCAGAAAATAGGGCGATTTCCCATCCCTACATTCAACACCCCTAATAGGCATTATGGATATTTGGTTATGCCATTTGGTCTGACTAATGCTCCAGCTCTTTTTCAAGCATTGGTAAAGGATGTAGTCAGGGACATGGTGGGAAATTATGTTTGTTTATCTGGATGATATTATGATTTTCTCACACTCTCTTGAGTCCCACAAGCTCCATGTCCGGTCTGTACTTTTGCATCTCCTCCAAAATCACCTTTTTGTCAAAGGAGAGTATGAGTATAACACCACCACTGCATCATTTTTGGGTTTTTTTATGTCCCCCAATCAAGTAACCATGGACTTGCCAAGACCACAGCCATCTCTGATGGGCCCACACCATGTGACCACAAGCAATTACAGAGGTTTCTGGGGTTTGCTAATTTTCATTCACAACTATAGTCAGGTTCTCCACACTCTCACTTCATCCAAGAATCGTTTTGAATAGAACGATCTGGCAGATAAGGCATTCACCAAGTTAAAGTCTCTGTTCACCACAGCACCTGGTCTGCACACCCCTGATCCTGAAAAACTGTTCACAGTAGAGGTCAACGCTTCTAATATAGGGGTAGGCGCAATTCTGAGCCAAAGATCCCCTGATGGTCATGTTCACCCATGTGCAAGAACGTGAAGCCTGAGGCACTTGCCCGCATTCATGAGAAATCTGATTCTATGACCAGTGGTGCAGAGGACTTCAGTAACGATTTCAGTCACAATGATGGAACTGGAAAAAGAGGTCAGAAACGCTATCAAAGAACATCCACCTGACCCGATCATCTGATCCAAAAGGTACTTTTGTTCTGCCATAAGTCATGTCTGTTTTGTCAGGAATCCCAGGAATCAACAAGACTCTACAGGTGGTTCAAACCCAGATTTGGTGGCCAACTCTGACTAAGGACGTCAAGGAATTCGTCACAGTTTGTCATCAATGCAGTCAAGCCAAGGCCTCAAGGCGCCCACTCTCGGGTTTGCTGCGACTGCTTCCCATTCTGGCACGCCCCTGGTCTTACATCATGGACTTTGTCACAGGTTTGCTCGCATCCAACAATGACACAGTCATCCTCACTGTCGTCAACAGGTTCTCCAAGATGGTTCACCTTGTTCCTCTTCATAAATCACAATCAGCACTTTGAATTGTCTTGAAATGTGCTATATAGATAAACTTGCCTTGCCTTGTCTACATATATTGTTGAGGTAAAATAATTCCACCAGATATAATAATACAGCCTCAACACCCCAGTCCGGATGTCGTGGGAAAGAACAGATGAAGAGCAGGAAATTAAGATTAACACAAGTTTAATTTGGTAAATGATAAATCCAATAATTCCCAATGCATATTGAGAAAAAAGAATGATACAAACAAAGAAAGATTTACCAAAAAGGGGCCCCCTTTTGGGGAGACCGGTCAGCAAAAGGAGGCCCCAAAGAATCATCTGTTTTAACAATAAATTAAAAAACCCTTATACCTTTTGCTTCAAAGCTTACTGACTGACCCTCCCCTCCAAGAATTATTACGAAGTCTGTGTCGCCGCTGTAAATCAGTCAACCCCATGTGAGTACTTTATTATTTATACCATGCCCAACAGTCGACATTTATTGCTTTACTGCCCATACAGCCGGCATTTACTGCTTACAGCTGCTGGAACATCCTTAACCTGAGGTTCACCCTTGCTCCAGCCTGAAGCCTGCTGAGACCTCTGACTTCTCCCACTCAGGCTCACAATACATGTTATTTTAGTTTTATGGTTACACATGCGAACTGAACTAATAGTATGAAAGTAAATTATTTTAATTCTCAACAATATATATATGTTGGGGTTATCCATTTTGGAAGCAGTTTTTCCATTCAAAAGAGGCTGCGGTCTAAGCCTTGTGGCCTGACCACTCCTTTGTCCCAGTTTTATTACTGGAATTTTTCCACATAGGTCCCACCTCAGAGTTTTATGACCCTTTGTTCGAAATTTGGGGCAATCAGCTGCTAGTGGCTAAGGTCGCAGCCCACCGTTTTACCAGCTGATTGCCGCAATCAAGACATCAGCACACTAGGAGGACTTCTCTTTCCAAGTTAACTCAAATTGCACATTTGGTCCATAAAACTGCTGGTTTGATCTTCATAGACAATCAATGCGCATATATTTTCTTTTATTATTATTGTTAGGTAGAATAGTGCTAGTTAGTTAGGTGAAGGTTTTTGGACCAGAATGGTGGTATATCAGGGCTATATGGCTTCAATAAATCTTCATATGTATAATTATGAGAAGCATTTGTGTTTATTTGTCAAGATGATTAAACTTTTTAAAAATTTTAAAGGGCAAAGTTTCCCCGCCTTCTGTTAACGGTTGAATAAACAGTGACATTTAGTGGGTTTTGGGGAATAATTTATCAAATTTTTTAAATTTTAAATTTAAATAATTGTAATTTTTAAGGGTTTGAGCCCTAAAACACAACAAACCCGAGGACCCCTTTTGATTTCTTTTCGTAAGCAAAGATTTTTGGTTAAGAAATTATTTTCCCGAATTAGGGTTTTGACTTTTTAAAATTTTTTATAATTTAATTAAACAGTAATTTAAATCCCCTTTTATATATATAAAGGGGTTTGGGGTATATATATATATTTTAATTTTAAAATATCTATATCCTTTTTATATATATAGATATGATTATTATATATAAAAATATTTTATATAAAAAGTTTTTGGGTGGCCCGGGCCCTGGTGGTTTTTGGGGTGTTGGGTGTTTTGGGGCGGCCTGTAATGGGAATTATTTTAATGTTGGGGGGACTTCCTCTAACCTTTCTCCTCTGACCTAGGTTTTTTGAAATAGTGTAGGTCTTTTTAGAGCAGATGGCCTTTAGCCATTTGTTGATGAAAATGATGGTCAGCACTTCCTGAGGGGGGCCAGATGGGGTCTTTATCTATGATTGTCTTATCTCTGTCCTGTAAAAGAAGGTTTTTGGGGCCATAAAGTTAAACCTCTTTGAAGGTGAGGTAACACCCTCATTCTGCTAAAAAATACTGTCTGTAAAATGTGTTCGGGGGGCCCTGTTTTCACTGACACGTCAGTGACAGGGTCTTCAAACGCAGAAATGCCTTTGAATAAAACTTATAATAACAAAGTCCGGATTTTCTCTTATTGTGAGTTAATTTCTCTCCCACTTTGATAAGAAAAATGCTATTACAGGCCCTGGTGGTGGAGGGGTTAAACACGTGACCATATCAAGAGGCTATAGTCCTTGATGCGGTTGTCCTGGGTTCGAGTCCCGGACCTTGTGACTTTCTTCTAATATCTCCCCCTCTCTTTGCCCTCATTCCTGTCTACCTACTGTCGAAAAAATAAAAAAAATAAAGGCATCTAGTGCCGCAAAAAAAAAAAAAACGGAAGTGTTAATCATTATATTCATTAAGCAGCAAAATGCAATGAATGATAAAATCAATATTTGGTGTGACCACCCTTTGCCTACAAATTAGCATCAATTCTTCTAGGTACACTTGCACACAGTTTTTGAAGGAACTAGGCTGATTCAAACATCTTGGAGAACTAACCACAGATCTTCTGTGGATGTAGATTTTCCTTTCCCACATCCTTCTGTCTCTTTATGTAATCCTAGACACACTCGATGATGCTGAGATCAGGGCTCTTTATGCTGACGACAGTTCTTAATGACTTTGACTGTATGTTTGGGTTCGCTCACTTTGCATTTTGTAAATTGTTAAAAATAATCATCATTGATATTTCTGAGAGCATTCTTTGTTTACATGTTTACAGCATTTTTTCACACCTACCTAAACCTTTTGCACATTTACATATATATATATATATAATATATATATATATAATATATATTTACAATATATATATACATATATATATATAAATATATACAAGCGTTGGGACAATGAAACTAAAAAAACACCTGGTTTTAGACCACAATAAATTTATTAGTAGGGGTGTAGGGCCTCCTTTTGCGGCCAATACAGCATCAATTCGTCTTGGGAATGACATATACAAGTCCTGCCACAATGGTCAGAGGGATTTTAAGTCTATTCTTTTTTTGCAGGATAGGGGGCCAGGTCACTACGTGATACTGAGGGGGGAAAAACTTTTTTCCTGACTCGCCCCTCCAAAACCCCCCAAAGTGGCTCAATAATATTTAGCCACTTTGGAGATTTTTCAACTTCACTTTCATGTTCATCAAACCCCAATTTTTCACCAGTTTTCTTTGTTTTTTGGTGCATTGTCATCCTGATACAGCACACCACCTTCAGGATACAATGTTTGAACCAATTGGGGGGTGCAAATGGTCCTCAAGAATGGTTTTCGGTAGGTCCTTTTGGGAGTGACGCGCCCATCTAGCACAAGTATTGGGCCAAAGGGGAATGCCATGATATGGCAGCCCAAAAACCATCACTGATCCACCCCCATGCTTCACTCGGGCATGCAACAGTCTGGGTGGTAGGCTTCTTTGGGGCTTCTCCACACCGTAACTCTCCCGGTGGGGGGAAAACAGTAAGGTGGGCCATCAGAGAACAATTCATGTTTCACATTGGTCCAAACCCAAGATTTGCGCTCCTTTGCACCATTGAAACCGACGTTTTTGGGTTTGCATGAGTGACCAAAGGGTTTTGGTATAGCGCCCGGTCGTGTAAAATTACCCTGTGGAGCTCCCACGGACAGTTTTTGGTGGAAACAGGAGAGTTGAGGTGCACATTTAATTTTCTGCTGTGATTTGGACAGCAGGGGGTTTTAGTTTTTTTGGATACAATCCGGGTTTAGCACCCCAACATCCCTTTCAGACAGCTTCCTCTTGCACAGTTAAACTGTTGGATTTTGTGGTTCGTCCTTCTTGGGGGTATGCTGACATTACCCTGGATACCGTGGCTCTTTAACATCACAAAGACTTGCTGTCTTGGTCACAGATGCGCCAGCAAGACGTGCACCAACAATTTGTCCTTTTTTTGAACCCTTGGTATGTCACCCCCTAATGTTTGTGTGCATTTTCAATATTTTTTAGGGAAAAACTGGGGGGGGGTGCTCTTACCCTGCTAATTGAACCTTCACACTCTGCTCTTACTGGTGCAATGTGCAATCAATGAAGACTGGCTACCAGGCTGGTCCAATTTAGCCATGAAACCTCCCACACTAAAATGACAGGTATTTCAGTTTCATTGTCCAACCCCTGTATATATATATTTATATATACATAGATATCCAACTAAAGGGAGATCACACTCCTCAGCCTCCCTGGTAAGGCCTATGCCAGGGTATTGAAGAGGAGAGTCCGGCCGATAGTTGAACCTCGGCATCAGGAGAAGCAGTGTGGTTTTCGTCCCGGCCGTGGAACACTGGACCAGCTCTACATCCTCTGGAGGAAACTCGAAGGTTCATGGGAGTTTGCCCAATCGGTCCACATGTGTTTTGTGGACCTGAAGAAGGCATTTGACTGTGTTCCTTCGTGGTGCTCTGTGGGGGGTGCTCCAGGAGTGCAGAGTTGGAGGCCCTTTATTAGGCCGTCCAGTCTCTGTACAAGCAGAGCAGGAGTTTGGTCTACATTGCCGGCACTAAGTCAGACCTGTTCCCGTTGCATGTTGGAAATAAAATTTAAAATGGCACTTTGAAGAGGTTCTGATGCTGGGGGACAGTGTAATTAATTGTGTGGGTTAATATTATCCAACAATCGAACCAAACTTATCCTCCTTCAGCTTAGGCATACTTGAGCTTGGACTACAAAATTTCAGCGAGAAATAAAAATGGTGGACAAGAATAAAAAAAAAAACCTGATTTCAAAATTATATGGAGCCCTACAATGTGAATCCACTATTAATAATAGGGATGTTAAGGAGAAATGGGAATTAGAGGCCAATGTTGTTTTAACAGATGATGAATGGGAGGAAACATTTAGGTCAGGGCATAAATTAACAAATAGTCCAACATGGAGGGAGTTTGATTGGAAAGTGAAGATGCAATATTTTAACACATCAATCATTACATCAAAGTTTGGCAAAACATCAAACTTATGTTGGAGGAATTGTGGAGAAGTGGAAGATTTCACTCACATATTTTGGGACTGATCCATAATTCAGGACTTTTGGAAGTACGTGCAGATTGAAATAAAGATTATTCTGGGGATTGATTTAAATTTGGATATACATGGTATAACTACAAGATGTATTGTGTGAATTTAGGCAAGCCTGGACTGTTAAACATGTCTGTGTATGGAAGAATGTTGGAAAATAAATAAAAAGTACAAAAAGAAATGGCGGATTGTCCTCTTTAAATGAAAGAAAAAGATGCTAAAAGCAAATGGATAAAGTTTTTTCTACATGATATTGACAAATTACTGATACTTCACTGTCATTTTGTTGTGAAAAATACGGTGAGAGGCATTCTCATTGGGTAATGTAGTTTTTTAAGACCCTTCCTTACAGCGGATGCTCGTGGTTAAACTACAATACCCACATTTCTGAACCTACTTCTGTTGACAGCCGGTAGGCAACCTGTACAACCTGGCTGTGTCTCTGACTATAGTTTCAAACGACGCCCTAGGAGGTAATACAACAAAAATATGTTCATTATACACGATGTGAACGGGGTTAAAAGTCCTTCGACGGTTTGTTGCTTGTTATAAATACAATGTTAAAGCTAACGCGGCTAAAGGAAGTGCCGAGCCGGGGCTGACAGACTGGGCTAGCTAGCAGTGGTAACAGCTCACATGCGCCATGATATTCGCAGTGTTACAGAAACATAAACGGTGGCATGTGAAATCAGAATGCTTATACAATAATACACAGAAACAGGAGGCTCTAGCAGTCGTTTAATTCTGCAGCTTGTACTGCTAAACTTAGCCTTTTTAGAACAACTCTTTTTACACTGACACGTTATTCTGGAAAAGTTTGGACCCAGGATAATACACAGTTTCCTCTCCAAGTTGTTTGCAAGATTTACATCACAGCAAATGTTTCTGTCAGTGGTTAGTTGATGTGGGGACTTGGGAAGACTCGACGAGGACAGTTTCTGAAAATGAATCTGCTTCCTTTAACAACTTGTTTGAGAAATTTTGTTAAGGTTGTTTCATAGATAATTTATGTGCTGTTAAGCATACTACCATGGAAACTTATTTCAGTATGTATTTTCTGGGTTAGAGTCTTAGGAGGAACCAGTACAACTCTCGGGAGGAGAGACACGGGGATCAATGTCTCCTCCACGCCTAACAGGTGCGCTGCGTTCTTTCTCTAATGTCAGCAAGAAGGAGGATCCCACGGAACAGCTGTATGACCTGAAGGTGAGCTTCATAAATGTGCAATGAAATGTTTTTCAAGAACTGAGGAAAGAAAAACCCAGAAATCCTTTGAGTCGAAAAGCCAGACAGTGTGCCAGACGTTTAGTTACTCAGAACTTGAACCATTTTATTCAAATTCTTTGGCAAAAGATAGGAACCTTTCATTGCTACATTAATTTTAATTAATATGTGTGGTTAAACAACAACACAAAATATCATTCATTTTCCATAACTTTTCTTAACTTTTAACCTTGACATAGGTGAAAGCATTGTATACGATTATGAAGCATAAAATACTAACCGGAATTAATGACAAAACTGATGTCATTGTGTTGCACATATGTGTATGCAATAATTTTTTAAAATGTTTGTTGTTTTTGGTTCTGGTTGTCATATTCACCTCTACCCTGTTGGGGTATTTGACTCTTTTAATGACTGCTATAACTTTCTTTTCTTTCATTGATGTTGGTATTCTATTTTGTAAGACAGAAAGAGGAGAAGAATGAAGATGTTAGCTAGAAATTATCTGGTGCCACATAATGGAGCTATGTTCACACTCCCCCTAACTTTGGCCAGCTTTTTGACTGACAGTTACTCTGCCATGAACTTACTTGTTGCTAGGGTCTGCCATAGAGTGCTACAGATATTTTCTTGAAACATCCATGAGCATCTAAAGAAACTGGTCAAATCATGAAAAATAGATTTTTTTTATTGAAAAGCATGCTCATTAAAAAAGCTGTGATCAAACCAATCACTGAGCTAAAGTTCTAAGCACTCAGGTTGTAAATAAAATTCAAAATCAAATCAAGGCAAATAACACCTAACATTAGTGTGAATTAGGGTTGTACGTCCCTGGTCTGTAGCTGATATGGTGCATATCTCCACACACTGCCAACAATATGGTTCATTTTAGATACATAGATGGGGAAAACAATATAACATGATTTACCCCTCTATCACAAATCAGTGGGACTTACCGATTTAAGGGCAAACAAAAT